AACTAATAATAATATTTGAATTTGGGTAGTAAGATTGTGGTTATATTTTCTTCTCCTTACTGAATTAATTAATTTTATACAATAGAAAGTAAAAGCCAAAATGTCTGTGATCAAGAGATTATTGAAGAAGCCTATGACCTTTTTCTCTAGGAAGAACTGTCTTCATCCCTTCTCATTGTAGATAGGAAATATATCATCTGTGCATTGCTGATTTCACCCCCAGCCCCCAATTCTTAGCAAGACTTGCTACATACAGAGCTTATAATAAACCCTGACCTCCCTACCACATCCAACACACTTCTGCCTGGGATCCCTGAAGTACATCTGGAAATCGTTTGAATCTCCATGGGATGGCCAAACATAAATAACAAGAAACAATTATTTGTTTTGTTTCCAATTTCCTTTCCTTAAAAATTACGAGATAAAGCTGACCAATTTCTTCAGCCAAGGAATAGATTCCCATGTTATGCACTCCCCCACTTTGTGGTCCGTTTCTCTGTCACAGATGTGAGAGCAATCTGGTGCAATGAGACATACAATTGCACTAAGATACTTCAACACTGCCATCCACTGGCCAGACCAGATACGTCAGGTCCCCTGGGAATTGAGTGAGCTGCTTGTCCTAAGAAATGATGTCTGCTCCTCCAGCCCTGAAGCTCCTTCTATGCCCTCGGGAGTAAAAAGTCTCTCTAAGGATTTGCAAGAGGCTTATAAACTTCAGTCAGCAGGGAAAAATATGTTTTAAAACACAAATCTTCCACATTTCGACCAGCAAAGAGCAACCTTCTTCTGTGCCCGTCACTTCCCACCACTGTTCCTGGACAATGAGTAAGTGGATAGTTAGAAATGTGTATCATGTCAAGTGGAGATGAAATCCTATATTTTGTGGGGCTTTTTTGTTTTTGTTTTTGTTTTTTTAGCTGAGCCATCCTGCTACCTGTTGGCAACTCAGCGGCTGCTCAGTTCGGGCTGGACTCGAACCGCTGTTGCTCAGAGCTCAAACTCTTGAGCGAGCTCTTAACCAACTGAGCCACTCGGCCGGCCCTTGAAATCCTATATTTTGAAATACAAGCACAAGTACAGCCAATGAGTGTAGACTCTAGAAACAATCACAAAAGTGAAGAGTGTAAATATATTTTTCATACAGTCTAACTTTGAACTTTTAGGCACTACAATTCAAGAGCAGTGATGATAATTGGGAGACTGCTTTGGAAGACTGAGAAGTTAAAGGCAGTTAGCAGAATGCTATTGGAGGAGTTGGGTAGACCCACAGATTTTATACTTGAAAAAGAAAGGACCTTGAGTGACTTGAATTTTTGTGCTATTTTATCTAAAGATGTGTGATTGAAAAAGGGGGACAGTAGTTACAGGGCTCATGCTAGCTCAATATAAAGAGATGTTTCTGAAAGTGTGAGGTGACCCGCACGCCAAACCAGTGCTCCTGACTTGTCAGCCAGGAGTGCACCTGGGAGGATTGGGTGGGAGACGAAGAAAGAAAGACAGAGACAAAAGCTGGGAACAGGAGGGACTCAAACTGCTGATGGCAGACTGAGGCCTCGCTTATTGGATATACACAGGTTACATAGGAAACAACTTTTTCTTATCAGGGAGAAATTCCCTTATTACTAAGCAGGGAGAAATCTTCCCGATGTGGAACAGAACAAAGTATAACAAGTAGAAACTGTTAACAGGATGACTATCCACTCTGTAACTTTTAAGGTTGTCTGTGACATTAGCTGCGCTTCTTCCAGGGCACAGTGGAGATGAGTCAGGGGCACAGTGGAGATGGGTCAGCAACCTTCCCACGCTGCTCCCCAAGGCCTAAGAGCCTGTCATCTTGCTAGCTGTCAGGCTTAACCCTTCCTGCAGCTCTGGTCTGTAACTTTTAAGCTGCTCTCGAGCTGCTCACCCTAACATGGAGGCCTATGGCCTGCCAGCTTACAGCCTCAATGTCCCTGGCTGATCCCAGCTGGCTCCCCACAAAAGTGAGAGTTCTACAGTAATATGACAGGCATGGAAAGGCATCAACACGCATATATGAGGTGTGATCAAAAGATATGGTGAATGATTAAATAAAGAAAAATTATTACAGTAAAAGACACATTGTCATTAATCCCCTTCAGAACACTCCCCCTTGCTTTGAACACACTTATTCCATCATTCTTGCCAGTTTCTGAAGCAGTTCTGGAAGTTCTTTTTCATGTCTTTACTTTATCCCCCATCATGGCAATGCTCTGTGTCACACATCGCTTCTGGTATTCAGGTAGGGCAATTTCTGTCAAATAAAAACATTAACATGTGTCTTCATCCACCTTATTCACTGGATCTAGCACCATGCAACTTCTGGCTCTTCCCAAAAGTCAAAATGACCATGAATGGAAAATGTTTTGAATCGATTCAGAACATCGAGGCAGCCACGACCGCGCAACTAAAGACACTCACGAAAGAGGACTTCCAGAACTGCTTCAGAAAGTGTCAAGAACGATGGGATAAGTGTGTTTGAAGTGAGGGGGAGTATTTTGAGTGGGATTAATGGCAATGTGTCTTTTACTGTAATATACATATTTTAAAAATTTAAACATTCACCGTATTCTGTGATCACACCTCATAGTCAGCTGCCAGGAAGTAATGCGAAAGAATTCTGTTTTGGAAGGGTGGTTTAGTAGAATAATTTTTAAACCATTCTAAATTTAAATTTTATAAGTGGAAATTAGGGTTGTTGGAGGCCAGTGAAGGACTCAGAATAATATTTGGAGGTGATGATTTGTGGAGAAGTGTTTTGGAATGTTTAGGACAACAACACAAAATTTATAGATCAGCTTGATTTAGAGTTAGACTCTAGTCAATTAGGCAACCTCTCTGCTGTCACATAAAATAATATTCATTGATGCATACTCTTTTCAAGTGCAAAGTTGAACTATGGTTTATTTCTGGTTCTCAGTTACAGAATAGCGTGAAGCATTCCCAGCAACAGACTTTGTTTTACAATGAGAATTTTGTTTTGGAGTACAGTAAGTCCCGACTTACGAACACTCGAGTTGTGAACCTTCACAGATACGAACGACCTCGCATTAAGAACATTCCTAGATGAGAACAAATTGCGGAAGTAGCTCACATGTCTGCTCTTGTCAGCTCACTCCACGCAATCCCCTATATGCCAATTGTTGTACCACCATTTTAATGTAGTGTAAAAGTAAAAATAGTTTATTTACAGTACTTTTGTGTGTGTGTTTAGTTTTTTTAATGCTTTATATTGTATATTTGTGTCAAAGGTGTATAAGACTCACTTTGTCGGACTTATTTATGAATGAATCCAACTTATGAACATTCTCCCTGAACAGAACTTGTTCGTAAGCCAGGGACTTAACTGTATTTTCTTTCTGTGTCTGCTGCCTCCCAAGGCACTTCCACCTGAACGTACCTATGTGTTTGTCAATTATTCTTCATGAAATATCTTGGACAATTCTTGAAGTGGCCCATTCCTTTGTATTGTTCTTGTTTCAGGTTTCATAGAAGATAAAAAATTAGAACTTCCTGCTTCCCTTCACCAGTAAGTAGCCCTGATTTTTTATAAGGATTACCTCTATCAACACTGCCTCCATATAGCGACCTAGGCTTCCAGCCTCATGCACTTAACCTTACCTCTAAACACTTCAGCATCTTCCTCATTGCTCTCCTGGTGAAACACATAAGGTCTCTCTTCCAGACCAGGTATTCTTTAACCCACTTAATTTTATCAACCAATATTTTCAAACTGTCTTTGCTCTCTAATGTGTGGAAAAGAAACTGTATGAGGAACTGTGTGTCTTATCTAACTGAGAAATTTGTGTATGAGTCTTGTTTCCTGAATCAGAATTGCCATGGTAATATAAAAAATTAAGCAGCTGCCATTGTTTATGTTTATGCAGTCTGGACTGTACAGCAATGCCATATTTGAAACTTCCTTTGTGAGAAGCAAGTTCAAGGGGAGGGGAGGTAGTTATGTTGGTGGAGTCACAACCATAGAAAGAGACTTCAATAAATAATTTCTCAAAAATTATTGGTACGATCTGTAGAAATACCCAGCCCAGCTAGTGTAAAGTGAGTGGAGGGTAAAAAGGATTAAAGAAATGGGGAGGAGAGAAAAGCGAAGCTCAAGGTAGAGTGAATTTTGGTGTTTCTCTGTTTAAAGTATTGTTCCAGTGTTTTTGTTTGTTTGTGGTTACTTCTTCTTCTTCTTCTTCTTTTTCTTCTTCTTCTTCTTCTTCTTCTTCTTCTTCTTCTTCTTCTTCTTCTTCTTCTTCTTCTTCTTCTTCTTCTTCTTTTGATTTCCTTGAACAGGTTAGAAGAAAGACAAGATGGAGTTGGGGCAGAAGAACATCACTAAGCAGCCTGACCATGTTGACCCCATCAAAGGCATGGTGTCCAAACACTCAGATTTCACCCTGTGGATATCACTGAGTGTGGGTGGATGATTTTGCAAAAGTGTGTATGGATGAAACTTTCAATTGGGCCTCCGTATTGGCATTTTCACATTCATTTAAACAATGATAAATAAGCTGATGAGGTTGATTTTGCTAGTTCTGTCATTCAATAATAGTGTAACTCATTGAGAATAGGACATAGAAGAATACAGAGAATTGCGATTTGCAAAACTTTGTTCCCTTGCTAAGAAGAGCCCTGAACTGCCATGCCTGTTATAAATGGCACCATGATCATGCCCTCTGTGCTGACCTTTATTGGGATCCCTGGACTGGAAACTATACAATGTTGGATTGGGATTCCATTCTGTGCTATGTACATCATTGCTTTGGTAGGAAATTCTCTACTTTTGATCATCATCAAATCGGAACCCAGTCTCCATAAGCCTATGTATATCTTCCTGGCTATGTTGGGAGCCACAGACATTGGAATTAGCACCAGCATTGTTCCCAAAATGCTTGGAATTTTTTGGTTCCACTTGCCAGAGATCTATTTTGATGCTTGCCTTTTCCAGATGTGGCTCATCCACACATTTCAGGGTATTGAATCAGGAGTGCTGCTGGCCATGGCTCTGGACCGCTATATAGCAATCTGTTTTCCTCTGAGGCATGCTACTATATTCACTCAACAACTAGTCACTCATATTGGCATTGGGGTGACATTGAGGCCTGCCATCCTGGTAATCCCATGTCAACTGCTCATAAAGTGCCGTCTAAAATTTTACAGAACAAAGTTAATATCCCACACTTACTGTGAACACATGGCTCTTGTGAAGCTTGCCACTGAAGATGTCTACATCAATAAACTCTATGGTCTCCTTGGAGCTTTTACTGTTGGTGGCCTTGACTTCATTTTGATCACCCTGTCCTATATACAAATTTTCATCACTGTGTTCCACCTGCCCCAGAAAGAGGCACGTCTTAAGGCATTTAACACATGTATCCCCCACATGTGCATCTTCTTCCAGTTCTATCTCCTTGCTTTTTTCTCCTTTTTTACTCACAGATTTGGATCTTATATCCCATCATATATACATATCATCTTGTCCAACCTTTACCTACTGGTTCCTCCTTTACTCAACCCCTTTGTCTATGGGGTGAAGACCAAATACATCCGAGATAAGGTAGTAAAAATGTGCTGTTCCAAAATCCAGGTTTGACATTTGATGGAAACATTTCCTCCTATGATTTTAATGGCTTATCTATTGGGCCTATGTGATTTGGAAATCCAGTCAATAGTTTGGAGTATTATCATACTGATGAATAAGTTAATTAACATATGAATGATTGTGTTAAAAAATTTCACAGGTTATCAACCTTAAGTCAGAGGCAGTTAAAAGAAATTGAGAGAAATAGAAGAGGAGATAAGTAAGGTGCTGAAAGACTAAATGGTTGGCTGTAGGAAGAGTCAGAACACAGGACTCTCCTCATCACCTGAGGCCAGGTCCGCATGGAAAAGACAAATGTAGAAATCTTTGTGCAGATCATACTGGAAAATGACACTTATATTGATTCTTTTGTTCTTAGATCAGCACCAACATCAACCTCCTTTATGGAAAATACAAGTCTCTCTGCATTCCTTCTCCAACTACTCTAAAATCTTCTTTAGTGTTTACTTTGTCCCATCAAAATCCATCCCTTGAATAGCTCCTTCTTGTCAAATATATTCTGAAATTTGTCTGACATAAATATTTACAAATATCTTCTTCTTCTTGGAAGTCTATCCCTATTAAGTAATTTATGCTATAATCAAATTGGTGACTGTCATGACATAAAATATGTTTCCTTCAACAAAGCTAAGACTAGGGCATACAATATTGGGCTTATTTTTATTGTTCTTAAGTGTTCATTTAATTTCTTCATTTGTATAAAGAGAAATGTGAGAAAAGCTGGTTTTTTACATATAAATGTGAAGGCACACTATTACTCTAAATCTTTGTTCAATTATTTTCCTGATTTAACAAACAATAACTCTTTGACCTAACAATAATGGAGGTCTAAGAAGCCTCGACAGAGATTCCAGAAGCTGGGGTCCTCACCACATTGGTTTCCCAAACTTTTTTTTTTTTTAATGTAAATCAAAGTTCATTCTGTTCTGCATTATGATGCTCATATATGAATGATAGTATTTCACAGAGAAACTTTATTTTGCAAAACCATCATAAATGAGGACAAGTAGTCAAATATTTGCGAAGAAGATTTGATAGAAGAAACGCATTCCAATTTTGTAGAAAAAAAAATCATTGAGGAAGTTGATTACATGCATGAGTTCTGGAGTCAAAATGAGTTTTGTCCAAAGCTTTATTTTCTTTTCCTAACTATATGCATTGAAAAACAATTTATTGTCACAGATTCAGCTGCCTATTGTCATCTTGTAATAACAAATGTTATCCTGTTTACATGGGGCTTTGTAATTGGTAAGGACTCAATAGAGGTTATTCTGTTTGTTGCTGTAATCACCATCATCGTCATCATCATCATTGTCATCATCATCATCATCATCACTGGTTTCATTATACAAACCCTTATCACTTCTGTTGTGCTTGAGTAAAAATATTGTGCCACTACTTTTCAAATAGTTTGTTAATCACACTAAAACGCATTTTAAAATACAAATTTAAGCATTGTTCATGACCCAATCTGTGGTCACTTTTTCTTGACATGTACTTGGTAAGTGCAGTGTTATTTATATCTGTATCTATATGTATGGCTATGCATTTGTGTGTGTAAGTTTGTTAGTTTTCTACGATATTATTTCTAACTTCACATTTGTTTGCTTGTGTTTTCAGCTTTTGATAGAAGTGTATAAAAGTGTCCCACTATGACTTTTAGTTTATTTCTCCTATTAGAGCTGCTGAATTTTCATTTATGTATTTTTAATTTATTATTTTAATGTATAATTTTATTTTTAAGCTATGGGAAGTTAGATACTTCCATTTGTTGACTGCATAAAGATTTAAAGTTAACGTATTTTCCTTGTTATTGATCTTGTTATCGCTGTGAAATATTTCTCTTTCTCTAGTAATGCATCTTGCCTTAAAGTGACAGTTTTGTTATTTTCTACTAACCTTTCTCCTAGTTCACTAATCCTGTCTTCTGCTTTTTTCCAATTTGTTTTATTTTTAAGATTTTTATTAAAATATAGCTAACATACAACATTATATTTGTTTCAGGTGTACACCATAGTTATTCAACATTTACATAACAAAGAAGTGATCACCATGATAAGTCCAGCAACCATCTAGCACTGTATTATGCTATCACAATATTATTGACTATATTCCCTATGTTGTACATTACATCCCCATGACTTATTTGTTTTATACCTGGAAATTTAAACTTCTTGTTCTTCTTTACCTTTCCCCCCTTTTTAATTGTTCAATTACAGTTGACATTCAATATTATTTTATATTAATTTTTGGTGTAGAGTTAGACACTTATTAGATATAATTTAAGACATGATCCCCCTGACTAGTCTAGTGCTCGCCTGGCACTATAAGTAGTTATTACCATATTATTGACTGTATTCCCTATGGATTACTTTACATTCTCATGAATATTTTGTAACTCTTAGTTTGTACATTTTACTCCCTTCACCTTTTACACCCTGCCACCATCCACTTCCAATCTATCACCCCAACAAATCTCGTTCTCATCTGACACCATACATAGTTATTACAATATTATTGACTATATTCCTTATGCTGTACCCTACATTCCCATGATTACTGTGTTACAAACAATTTGTACTTCTTAATCCCTTCCCCTTTTTAACTCATCCCCAACCCCCTCCCTTCTGGAAATTATCAAAATGTTCTCTGTATCTATGAGCTTGTTTCTGTTTTGTTTATTTTGTTCTTTAGATTCCACATATAAGCAAAATCTCATTGCATCTGTCTTCCTCTGTCTGATATTCCACTCAGCACAATTCTTTTCAGGTCTATCCATGCCACTGCAGATGGCAAGAACCCATACTGTTCCTTGGCTGAGCAATATTCAATTGTATATATGTACCACCTCCTCTTTATCCATTCTTTTATCAACAGACACTCAGGCTGCTTCCACATCTTGACCAATGAGCATGTTGATATACACCCCCCCTCAAAGTAGTATTTTGGTTTCTTCAAATAAATGCCCTGAAGTGGGATTACTGGGTCTTTTTCTGCCTCTTGTTATAGCTTTGTTTTAAAGTTTATTTTGTCTGGCATGAGTATTGCTACCCCAGCTCAGTTTGTTTGTTTATTTTCTTCATTTCCATTTTCATGAAATATCTTTTTCCATCCCTTTACTTTCGTCTGTGTGTATTTCAATCTGAAAAGTCTTTTGTAGGCAGTACATGTAAGGGTCTTGTTTTCTTATCCACTCAGCCCTCTGATGTCTTTTGAGTGGAGCATTTAATCCATTTACATTGAAAGTAATTGTTGATACACATGTAACTATTGCCATTTTATTATTCATAATTTTGATTTTTTCCCCATCTTAAAGAAGTCCCTGTAACATTCCTTGTAAGACTGGTTTGTTGATGATGAACTCCTTTAGCTTTTTCTTGTCTGGGAAGCTCTTTATCTGTCTTTTGATTTTAAATGATAACTTTGCTGGGTAAGTAATCTTGGTTGTAGGTCCCTGTTTTTCATCACATTGAATATTTTATGCCAATCCCTTGTGACCAGCAAAGTTTCTGTTGAGAAATCAGCTGGAAATCTTATGGAAGCTCCTTTATATGTTACAGTTGCCTTCCTCATGCTGCTTTTAAGATTCTGTCTTTGTTTTTAACCTTTGCCATTCTAATCATAATGTGTCTTTGTGTGGGCCTGTTTGGGTTAATCTGGTTTGGGACTCTACTTCCTGGACTTGTATGTCTATTTCCTTCTCCAGGTTTGGAAAATTTTCATGCATTATTTCATCAAATACGTTCTCAATCTCTTGCTTTCTCTCTTCTCTTTCTGGGGCGCCTATGATGAAAATGTTGTTATGCTTGATGTTGTCCCAGAGGTCTCGTAAGCTATCATAATTATTTTAGATTCTTTTTTCTTTTTTTGCTGTTCTGATTGGGTGTTTTCTGCTACCTTGTCTTTCACATCATTGAGTCCATCCTCTGCTTCGTCTAGTCTGCTGGTGATTTCTTTTAGTGCATTCTTCATTTCAGTTATTGTGTTCTTCACTAGTGATTGGTTCTTTTTTATGGTTTCTATGTCCCTTCTTATGCTTGTTATCTCTGTTGAAGTTCTCACTAAGTTTCTTGCACATCCTTACAACTATTGTTTTGAACTCTGTATTTGGTAGGTTGTTTGCCTCCATTTGTGTTTAGTTCATTTTCTGAAGTTTTCTCCTATTCTTTCATTTGAAATGTATTTCTTTGTTTCTTCATTTGGGCTGCCTCTCTGTTTGTTTCTATGTATTAGGTAGCTCTGCTATGTATCCCATTGCTGTCCAGGTGGCCTTATGTGGGGCAGTAACCTAGTCACCTGCTCTGAGTGCTCCAGGTGTGTCCCTTTTGTGGGCTGTGTGTGCCCTCCTGTTATAGTTAAGCCTTGGTTGCTATTGGCACATCAGTGGGTGGGATTGGCTCTCGGGCTGATTGGCTGTGGGGTTTGGCCAGGTCCACAGCTTACAGGCTCCTATGTTGGGGGGCTTACCCCACTGAGTGGGATTTGCCCCAGTGGGTTCTGTTGTCTGTTGAGACTACCCTTTGAGTGTGTTGCTTGTGGGGCTAATTTGGTGGTACTCTGCTGTAGTCTGAAGCCAACCTCCAAGTATGTTGGTTCTGGGGCCTCTTTGTAGGTGCTCCAGTGCAGGCTCAGATCACCCACTGCCTATGACCAGCCAGGGACTACCTGGTAAGGGCTACAAAGCGATCCATGGTTGTTCGCTGCCTGTGCTAACTGTGGAGGTGGGAGAGGAAGCAACACTGTGAACCAAAGATGTCTGCCACCAATACCGGGCCTGGAGTAGTGCCACAAAAAGCCAAAATACCTCGAGGCCTGCTGCCTCCTTCCAGCTCCCTTAAAGTTCAGTAATTGATAAAGCTTCATGCAGTATGCAAGTAGGGTGAGGCAGGGTCTCCGGGAGTCACTAGAGTGGAAAAGTTCATGTAAATTCTGGTTTGATGCCAGTGCTGAGCCTGCAGCTACTCAGCAAAAGTCGTAGAGCCAGTTGCTGC